ATGCTGTAGCACTATAGACTGAGCAGTCTTGAGTCTTATTTTTTCTAATACTTGATTAAACAACTTTTTTCCAGCAGGGTGGGTAGAAAGCAGTATTAATAAAAACAAACAAACCTGCAGAGAAGAACTGTTGCAATTGTATTTTTTATAGTTTGAACTTAATGAGTGGGCAATGAGTATATACATCTTAAATATTTCACTGATCTCATGAGGAAATAAAAAATACCTTCCTTTGTATCATGGGAAAATCCATAGCCAGAAGCTGTGCTGCTTCATTCAAGCTTCCTGAGGCTTTTTTTCCCCATCCTCTGATATTCTAGGAAGCTTCCATTGTTTGTCTGGGTCTTTCACACAGTGACTGGGATAGAGGAAAAAACATTTAAAGAAAATAGGAATGTGTCCATGAAGAACACTAACCACTGATGAACAGGTGTTTGACCTGCAACTGCCTTTAATTGGACTGGAACTCAAGTTAATACCCCTTTAAACTGGACAATGTGGACCATACCAAACCCATACCAGAGCACCTCTCTTACTTGAAGTCCAGATGCATCTTTATGCCAAACAATGTGATCCTCCTACACTTTCCTTCCTTCTTGCCCCTTTGGTTTTTGTTTTGTTACTACCACGTGTCAGGTGGGCCTGTACTCTTACTCCTGCACTTGTGGATACTGAGTCAGATCTTGAGTCTGAACTTCCTGTCTGTGACTGGAAGGAGTCATAAATGTTCCTGTTATTATTTCCTATCTAAATTTGAGTTTTATTGTCTCCTGCTTGTTTTCCTATTGTCACTCATATTCCTCCATCACTTTTTCCCCTGGCTGTTCTTTTTTTTTTTTTAACCCATTCCTTCTTTATCACATTCCTCTCCTTGCTTTTCCCAATCCACCCTTGGTCATCCATGGTCCAATCCCATCTTCTGCATAAAGCCTTAGTAAAAGGGACCACAGTGTTATATCCTCACACTTGTTAGGCCACTTGTTAAAGTAGAATCTAAGAACAGCTAGCAGCATAGGCGCTGCAGGTGCAGCATGCCTAAATAAGGGCAGTGTAGGTCTGGTTGATTCACCGTCTTGAATGATCACATCCTGCTTTCTTCTCCTTACCCAAAATACCTGGCTTAGACACTTCACCTTTCACAAATAAAGAAGGGCCTGCTTATAGAGGCACATTAAACTCCAAATCCTTTATCTTTGGAAGTTGCTTCTAGATGGAATGCTTCTGGGGCAGTATGGACAGTTGATGAGAGATGATGGTTATAATCCCATATAAAGTGTAACAAAGCCTTTTAAAGCAACAATTGGTAGTTAGATGATGATCTTCATGCTGTATAGTCATCGTGTTTTAGTTACGATGGTCCAAGGAATATGTGAAAAGCAGGATTTGATTGGTAATAACTTTTATTGGGTAAACTGTAGAATGTCTTTCCTCAGGTCTGGGAAAACAGCAGATGCAACTTAGGTTAAATACTAGGTAAAAAATGATACTCGTTTAACACTAAAATTTAATTGAAAATATACACTTAAAGGAGGGGCAGTATAAACCCACGGAGCACTTTGTGCCCCAAAACTTCTCTCCCAACTATGTTGTTGGTCCAGTGAAAGATATGTTTTCATGTACCCCACATACCCTCAGATATGGCATGCACATTGTTTTTGGAAGGCAGCTTATACAAACAATTTTTTCCAGTTATGCCCTAGAGGTAGCTTTTTTCATAGCTGATAGCTTCGCTTTCCCTGTCAACAAACAGGAGGGGCATAGTTCAGTGTTAACCCTTTCACAGTCTTTCTGAAATTGAAAAGCTACTTCTAATTTAAGAGTGGCTGTGAGAGGGTTAACACTAGACTGCACTTTTGTTTGCTGAGAGAGAAGCTGGCAGCCATTCTGGAGCACTGTGTTTTCATGCTTCTACTCCTCCATGCCTCTATTCTAGCAAAGAGAATTGGCTTCCCTGCTTCAGGATGGATCAGACGTTCTTCCCAGGCCAGATTCAATCTCTTTGCAGTCAGGGATCTGCTCTTTCACTTGGTTAAATTTCTAAACTGCTCAAATTAGTATTTAATGACATTGAGATCTTGGGCAATTTTAGCACACCAATCCACGATCACAGTTTGCAAGTTCACCTACTCATAACATTCTTTCTATTTAGTTTCTTTAGTGCAGAGGACCAGAACATTTTCCACAACAGTCATTTGGAAGTGAAAAGATTTTCTGGGCAAGCTTCAAAGAGAAGAAAGTGACTAAGTGTCTTGAAGGGATCTGGGCTGGAGTTCCAGCCAGATGAGACATCTCAAAAGAAAGAACTCCTCCCAGCTGCTGAGTAAGAGGGAGAGGACAGAGGGGAAGCCAGGATTGCAGGATGAGGGTAAATAAGGAAAAGTGGAAGGTAGAAAAATGTGTTTGCATGGCTAATTTGTAGGTGTTTTTCTTAGGAAGAGGGAGCTTGAGATATTGGAATGAGACTCAGGGCACATTGATTCAAGTCCCTGTTCTGCCACAAATGTCCTGTGTTCCTCAGACAAGCTGCATAATTTGTCTACATGTGAAGTCACCCCCATTTCACAAGAAGGGAGCTATGTCCTGTATCTGCCAGGATGTTATGAAGATAATTCCATGGAACTTTGAGGCCTCCAGATGTTATTACAATAAGTTCCTAGATGAATAAGAAATCAGTTAAACTGATGGAATATGGGGTGGCAGAAGTGGTACAGTGTCTCTTTTGAAGTAGAAGCAAGTGGACATATTAAAAAGAAGAAAAAAAATTGAGTGTCATTTTGAAAAATAACCATCCCTGATCCATGGTTACCATTTCCACACAGAGAACATTACACTGACTTCTTTATTAAAGGCATTTCCTGTTTCAGTGCCACCAGCCAGAATCATTCTATTGGATGCATTTTTTTAAATCTTTGTAATTTGTAAGTATTTTAAATAAATTTATCATAGTAAATCAAGAGCTCAACACTCAAACAAAATGGATGAATTTCAATCTAGCATAAAACATGATGAAGGTATCCAAGGTGTCAGAGCATAAAAATGTAAAGAGAACCCCACACTGCTACAAAAGCATATCCAAAGGCACAGACCAGTATTATACCTAAGGGGGAAGTGGGCAACCAGGGCACCAGTCCCAGGTGCTGAGTTAAAGGTGTGATGCAAAAATTTTAACCACTGTGCTGCTGGCCTTTGCTGCTGCCCACAGCCCAGGCATTGATGCTGCCCTGTGCACCTCTACAGGAGTGCTTAGGTACCAAGAAGGACACTGGCTGTCTGCTCCCTCATTGTCCACTTTACACAAGTCACTTAATTTGATCTATGCCTTAATAACCCCATCAACAAAATGGAGAGAATTATCTCCTTTCCCTGGGAGGAGGAGGAGGTGGTAGTGAATCTTAATGAATGTTGTAAGGTGCCTTAGAAAGTGCTGTAGAAATTAAAGGTCACTTAAAACAGGGCTACCAACCTACAGGCCACATGTGGTCTCAGGTTAGAGACAGACATTACACGTAAACTGGTTTAAGTGATCAGGAAACTGGTTTAAACCTGTAACAGGACAGACATTCAGTGCACATAAACCAATCTGAAAATGGCTGAAACCGCTTTGAGATAAACCTGGCTGAATGTAGTATCAGGCTTAACTGCTTCGGGTCAAACCAGTTTATGCAATGTCTATCCCAGACCGCTTCCTGGTTTAAGTTAAACCAGACTTCCCCAGCATCTGGGCATGCTCTCTGGCCTGGGCAGGCCCCTCCCCTCTGCTCCCTGGCTGGAGCTCCAGCAGACACTTGCAGGCACAGCAGGATCTGCCTGGCTTCCCTGTGCTTTCCCCCCCTCCCCGCCACCCCCACTGCTTAAGCAGGGAACCCTTCCTCCTCTCTCACACAACATGGACTGTAGCCAGCGTGTGGTATGCTTGATAAGGCTAAGAGGTCTGTGTAAGACAGACAGGACAGTGTCTGCTTAGAGCTTTTTGGAGCTAATTAGCAGGTAGCTGGTAATGTCCCTGTGTTCGTTCCTTTGGAAAAAGCTGTTTAAAAAGAGCTTGAACTAATGAGCAAGGCTTTGTTTTCTGATGGGTTGATAAATGCTGATAACAGAGCTGATAAATACTGTGTTATCAAGGGGTGGAGCCCCTCCCTAATCAGAGCATCCTGCTGGGGCCTGGCCATGCCCCCCTCAGCTCAGCACTGTGGAAGGGAAGGGAGGGCTTCTCCAGTGCCCCTCCCTGGCTTCTAGCCTGAGTTACTGCAGGCACGTGCCAGCATGTTTTCAGTCCAGAGGGGATGTCCGAGCGGTTACAAACTGATTCAGCATAGGCAGATTAGACAAACCTGCAAAGATTGAATCAATTCAGTCTCAGGCTTTTTGAATGTCTATCCCTAGCTTGAGGGAGCTCCCAGTTCAGTTCCCTGCCCGCTACACTTCTGTTGCTGCTGCTGGAGTCTCGAAGCTCCCCATTCCTCCTTCAGCTTCTGCTGCCTACCATCATCTGTGGGGGCAGAGAGGTGCCATGTGGCCTGCAGGGCTGAGGGAGCCCATGGCCAGGGGGTTTGGTGGACCTAGTACTTTGCATGTGGTGCACTGGTGTACACAATGTGGCTGTGAGGGAGGGAACCAAATCAGCACCACATGCAGCTGTGGCAAGCAGCCCATAGGATATACCACTGCAGGCCTTCAGTCACTGAGAAGTTAAGAGAGCCCTGACTTAAAGAATGCTTTAAATGAGGCTAAAATGCAGTTACACATTTTTGTCAAAGCTGATTTTATTTAATAAGTGCAGAAATTTCCAAGGCTTTGGTCAGAGAAAGGCGTTAGGTTTTTTTTACTGAACGTTGTAACTGAAATATTTGCAAAACTTAGGATTTCCTGAGACATATTTACTAAGACCATCTTTGGAAAGTAAATTACATGCATTTTTTAAAGGAGTAAAAAGCAGAATACAGACATTATTCAAGTTTTTAATTTTAATTTGTCACAATCCCCATGTCTTTCTTTTGCAGTTGAATATGACAAGGAGTTTACACCTCACCAACAGCACCACAAGGAATTCAAATTTAATCTCTCCCAGATTCCAGAAGGAGAAGCTGTTACCGCTGCTGAGTTCCGCATCTACAAGGACTGTGTCATGGGGAGTTTTAAAAATCAAACTTTTCTTATCAGCATCTATCAAGTTCTGCAAGAACATGAGAACAGGTACCTAAAAGATGATTGCTGCTTTTTCTGTTAACCAGCATAACTGTCAGCCTTGGGAATGGAGTGCAAAGGCTTTGGGAAGGTGTTGCTGCATTAAGCAATATATTATTTTACAAGATTAATAAGGATTCTTACCATTCAGTTGTCTTTTTTTGGGAAGCTGATCTGGTGCACTGCAAAATGGACTTGGATTGAAAAACTCCATAGTATCTGCCCTGCCCCCAGGCAATATAAATTTGTCATCAAATAAACCAATAGTCTAGGGTGAAGCTGTGTAATTAGTCCAAAGATTTTATAACATTAACCAGAAAAGCTAAAATGTCCATATTCCCTTTCAAATAGATACTAAAAGGATACATGATATACCCTAGCTTGGACATCTGGAGTAAAACTGCCAGAAAAATTTTGATATTCAATACGGTCCTGATTCTCCTCTGGCTTGCACCTTCATAAAGCCAAAGGAAAACAACTTGATTGACTCTCTGGAGTTACACTAAGGTAAATAAATAAGAATGAGCATCTGCAGTTCTGGTATTCCATTTATGTTTTGAGAGGTCAAAAAATGAAAATGTTCTATTCAAAAATATTGGATTTAGATACTTGGAAATTTTATCTAGATTATGTTCCAGGAATTTCCTTTCCTCTAAAGTTCAGGTAGCTGATGATTGATAATGAGGGTGATGATGATAACAATAACACTTGCAAATCCAAGTACAGCTATGCCACCTACCTACATGTATACGTTATTCATATACTTCTACAATACACATGTAGACAGTTATATTTAAACTGGTTTTCTTTCCAAGTTTTCACATCATATTCTTTGAGCACAATTCAATGTTATCCCATCTCACTCATTCCAAACCTCTGTCTTTCATTTAATTCATTTTGGGCTGACTTTAAACTTCTGGTTGTTTCCACTATCCTAAAAAAGCTAGAGATGAGCCTGAGCCATGAATTTCAGATTTAGGGCCAAACTTTCCTAAGAGTCAGAGGGGATTTGGATTCAGCTTTTAGGATATGCTTACTACCCAATAAAAACTAAACGAAAATGTAATGAGATGTAGAGCCTGATAAATTGTTTCCATTAACTTTGGTGAGAAAAGTTAGATCGGGGTGGGCAAAATGCGGCCCGTGAAGCCATTCTATCTGGCCAGCAGGGCCCCTAAAAAAAAAATGTAGAAAATTAATATTTCTCTGCCCTTGGTTCCTGTCAAAAATGACAGGAACCAAGAGCAGTAGGACCCAGGGGAAGCCCGGTGAGCTCCAACAACAGTGGGACCCGCCTGGCCCCGGCCCCCAGCCGGAAGACCCAGCTGCGGTTTCCAGGCTGGGAGCATGTGGCTGCCCCAGTGCAGGAAGCTCAGGTAAGTGGTGGGGGGACCCTGGACAGGGAAGGAGCGTGGGGGTGGGGTGGGGAAGCGGCCCCTCCCCGCCCATGCCCGGTGCCCCACGCTGCAGCTGCTCGCAGTCCGCGTGGGGCTGCCTGTGCCTGCTCCGGACAGCCCTGTGTGGGCTGCGAGCGCCTGCAGCGTGGGGCACTGGGCGTGGGGTGGGGGAGGAGCCACTTTTCCCTTGCGCTCAGCTTTTCCCTGGGCTCCTTCCCTGCGCGGAGAAAAGTGGCCCTGTGCTGCAGGCACTCACAGCCCACATGGGGCTGTCCGGAGCAGGCATGGGCAGTCCCAGGCAGGCTGTGAGTGGCTGCTGGGCATGCAGCGGGGAGGGGCTGCTTTCCCCATCCCACTGTGCTCAGCACCACCTTGTAACCTGGCCCCACTGCCAGGCTGGCAGTGGGGCGGGTTACAAGCTGGTGCTGAGCACTGGGAAAAGTGGCCCCTTGCCCACCCTATGGCCAGCGCACTGTGCTGCACCACCTGCAGCCCACATGAGGCTGCCTGTGCCTGCTCCAGACAGCCTTGCGTGGGCTGCCAGCAGCTGCAGCGTGTGGCGCCGGCTATGGGGCAGGTGAGGGGCCACTTTTCCCCATGCTCAGCACCAGCTTCTTCCCTGCTGGCAAGCAGGGGGTCAGGGCTGTGCCCTCCCCCCCGCCTGTACCGTGGGATGGGGGGCACTGGGTGTGAGTGGGCGGGGAGCCAGTGGGAGCTCAGGGCCTGTACCGGTGTCCTGGGGCCAGTGCTGGTGGGGCCCAGAGCAGGGGTCCCAGCTGGCAGGGGCTCTGTGGAGCCGGACCAGATCCCCACTCCCTGCTGGTGCAGCCCAGCCTGGCTCCACAGACCCCTGCTGGCCTGTACCCCTCTCTGGGCCCCACCAGTGCTGGCCCTGGGACAGTTGGTCCCAAGATGGTGACCAGGGGATGGGGCACCTGTCAAGGGGCGGGGCTCCCCATGTGGCCCTCAACAGCTTGCCAAAACTGGGTAAGCAGCCCTCTGCCTAAATTAATTGCCTGCCCCATGTTAGATAGATACTGCAACAAAAAAGCATAAGAAATATGAACAAATTTGGTGCCTTTTAAGGGATAATACTCAGGGATAGGGGAAGGGGAAAGGGAGACAATGTGACAGAAAAAATGCATATTGTCTTTGATGATAAAGGTCAGCACTACAAGTGCTACTGCTGTTACAGGAAAAAAAGAAACAAAAAGATATTGCTTTTAAAGGCAACATTTTCACTCCTTTGTTCTGGTTTGCAAGATGTTTTGTTTTCTAATGTTCCTTTCTCAGATTTTCCACTAGTGTTATTTTTTGGGACATGCCTTAAATGAATAATTTTTTTGTGAGTTGGTTTAAATAGTACATGATAGTTTGGAGGGGTGTAACATTTGTGGAAAAGCAGTAAAATAGCTGGAATCCCTTTCTCAATAACAGCATCGAAACACTTGAAAGGAGTAAGACTGGATTTTCTGAATTGTCCTCTTTTTTGGAAACTGATTGTCTAATAAATTTGCCAGCTAGAATTAAGCAATCAGGGCTAGTGATATCTTTTATTAGACCAACAAGATGTATGCAAAAAAATTTCTTTAATAGAAAGCTTTCGGGCACAAATTAAAGGTTTAAGCTCGCAATTAAAGAGGTTTTTTTGCAAAAACCTTGTTGGTCTAATAAAAGATATCACCTCTGTCCATGAACCCTGATTGCTTCTTCCTCTAGACCAATACGGCTACAAACTGGATACGTAGCTAGAACTATGCATTTACTGATATTGGAGGCTCTGGTAGAAATCTCATGGCCGTGGAGACTTCATAGGTATCAAATACCGTGTTCGAATTTTAAAGTCGATCAGAACTTGGAACTCTTTATTCTACAAATACAAGTTCCATCACTGCATCTGAAGGAGACTCTCTATTAAACAAGTGTTGTTTTAAACCTTAAATGTAATACTTATGTAGCAGGGATCAGAATGGGCTATAGTATCATGTATTTAATCACATCTGACATTCCTTCTGCTAGGTAGCATTTGTAACTTTTATGTCTCGGCGGCATTAAGTAAAGTAAAAGCTATCAGTGAGAGAGTAATAGGAGTTCAGTACATCCTGTAGTAATTAATACCACTGGTACCTGCAGGCTGGCAGCCTGTTTTAAAGCAGTTGTTGAGTTTTAGCTATGATGTCAACACTGGCATATCCTGTTTTCGTTCCACATTCCACTGTGATTTAATGACATAGGGTGCATCTACACATGCAATTAATGTAACACATTAAACTCCAGAGCAGTTCAAGCTGCAGTCAACTTTGCCTGGGCATATATGTGTGCCCAGAAGAGCAGCAATGTAAGCTGGGGTGGATGAGACCCTTGGCTGGCTGGGCTGATACTGCCACTGTATGCCCACAGTCAGCATCTACACGTGTGTTTTGGCACAGTAAGGTACTCTGCCGTAAGATAGTACTGTCCCTGACACTACTAACCTACAATGGAGTTAATTAGTTTACTGCGCCCTAATACCAGTGTACGTGTAGACTGTGACACTTTACTGCGGAGCTAATTAATCTACTCTGCAGTAAAGCACACGTATAGATGCACCCAATATGCATGAAAATAGGTTGCCCTGTTAAGTTGGGAAATGCATATACATTGTTTTTATAAGTTTATGATGTCATGCAAGATTGAGAACACTGGGAACTACAGACCTCTGTTCATTCGTAGAAGAGTTAATGGGAGCAGCAATTTAATCTGAAAGTGGAGAAACCACCTCCAGGGGTAGCCTTTCCCCAGTCTTGCCGTTCAGACTTTGGTGTTCTTGCTGATACTACAATCGATGGTGCCCATAATGAAGGAGAAGCTCATTTCTGGACTGAGAAATCTCAAGGAAGTTCATCTAGGCCAAATAGCCAACAATGTTCAATCTCTACTAACATGGGGCTATGCTTGAACTAGTGACCCAGATATGTCTTTCTACAGCTCATTACTAATCTCTGACTCATCCCTCACAGCACTTTTTTTTTGGGAGAGATGTGGGATGGATGAGAGAGTAGTTAGCTAAAGAAGCATGAACTTAGGAAGCCCTTATGGTTTGTGTGACTGGGAGCCTTGTCTGTGCAGACAAGGGCAAAATTTGGCCCATAAATTCTTGAAATCACTTAAGAACTTGTGTCCCTCTCTTTTCTAGTTTTTAGTTACATGATTGCTATGGGCTTTTTTATTTTATTATAAATAGACTATTTCTCACTCACACGCATGCACGCGCACACACAGTGATGGGGCTGTCTGTTCTGCACCATCTTTGTTTTGACTCTCTAGGATACAGTTGCCAGACTTATCTGCATGACCAAATTGGTGTAAGAGTTGTACTTTTTGTCCCTTGCTTCTCTTTATGGCACACTCACTACTTGCATGCAGTCTTGTGCCAACATCTGTGCCCAGAAATGTCTATGAATAAACACATATATACTGTATTTTTACAATAAATTCCCCTTTTGGATGACTTAATGAAGTATTAAAGCATGCTTTCTTTGAGAATGGCTTTATCCTTTGGTTATCAATCCACTTTTAATGAAGAAAAATCTTCCTTTTTTTTTCATTTCAGTGAATCATGTGAAATATATT